GCAACACAAGTGGAAGGAGAGACAAGAAAAGATGATGCCTGTGGCAAGGTCTTAGACATAGCTTTACTAGTAAATATATTGGAGATCAATATTTTCGTACTTGGTGTTTGCTGAATGAAACTTTCAATTCACTAAATATTACTACTCAAAGTAGACAGTATTGTCACAGCAGTTGAAGCTTTTAAACTTTATTGTTACCAATTTCAAACACCTGTCACAAACGCTGAATTTTATGAAATTTCATTCTGCAACCCAATAAATGTATCATAATATTGTACTTTATGGTGTGAGGTATGAAGCAAGAATGCTTTCAGTTACATTAAAGTTCCCAGAAAGGTTCCAGTTTTCATCAGATTACAGAATCAGCATCATTGTCAGTCATATATACATGTTTTAGTGTTATCATTGTGCACTTGCTGCCCTTTGTAAATAGCATTGGCACTTAAATTATTAATGGTTTTATAAATACTGGAGTTAACAGTAGTTCATAGTCAATGTCTTTCAATGTGCATTTCTAAAGTTTCTATCATCATCATCATCATAACCAGTTGATAATTATTCAGAAACTACAGAAAGGTCAGCAAACAATTGATTACATGACAATGCTGCCTATTTCTGTTTACTGTGATAACAGAGTAACGTTTCCTAACAAGTTCCACAGGAATCTTCAAATGCCTTAGACCAAAGGTATTGATTAAAACCTTTTTAGCATGTGTCTGAAAATCCACTGTGGAACTAACCTTGACCCAATGAAACACATCTGTTATGAATGCAAGCCACATACAAAGAGCTAACTAATTGTAAGATCTATGCACAAACATAACCATCATTTTGTATACAGATAAGGAAAAAGCACAAGTGTATTTTACTGAAAAACGTACCACTATTGCTGAATTTCCAACCACTGTACTAATTTGACACCTTTACTAAATGTATTTGCTATGAAGAAAACATATTTTTGTTCAGCAAGACTTTTGACACATCAGAAAATATCTTTGCTCATAGTATACTTTCAATCTAAAAAGCATTTGATGATGCAGTGATTACACTTAAACTGCAGTGGAAATGTATTGGATAGCTTCAACAATGGCCTAAAAAATAAATGCACCTCTTTTAAAGAATACTGCAAATCAACCTAACTTGAACTGAATGAGGGGGAAAATTAAAACTATGAACAACATCTCTGAACCGTTCAACAACCCTCCACCCCGCACCAACCATTGCCAAATTATCTACGCCAATAAAAGGAGAGGCAAAATTGGAGAATGCAAACTGTGCTGAAAAGCAGAGAGGTCTACATTAAAATCATTTCATGAGTGACAAGTAGTAGAAAAGGATGAATTATTTCTATATTTTCTAAACAACCATTAATAGTCCAATAATTTAGCAAGCCACTCCCAATGGAAAATACCCTTATAACTGTAGACCAGTAAATATAATGACATACAATGATGGAAACTTTATGACATTAAAAGGACTTTACATTTCACTTTGCTATTGCAGATTTTCCAATTCCAAGAAGGTTTTCTGAAGTTGAAGATTCAGAGGAGCCTCAAAAGGTGGAAAGTGCAGTCAAACTTGGAGCACAGAAGCTGCTTTGGGTTCCTGAAGCTTCATTTTTATACAAGTCTGGTGTAAAACATCTCAGATAATGAGTAATAAAATATTAATGATACACTAAAAATGTAGGCAATTATTCAAAAATGACAGAATTTGATGAGTTGCTATTGCAATATTAAATATCTGAATTTGAATGCTCCTTGAACACAAAATACATGGCAATTAACTTGAATCATTTTTAAGTATTAGTTCTAAAAGAGTTTTGTCCCTAGGTGGGTCCATAAAGTATTGCTCTTGGAAATGGTCATGAAAGTATTATATAAACACAGCTTCAAGGCTATCTGTTTCAATTTGATGGGTCCAATTCATAAGAAATGTTTCTCACAATTATCACCTTGGTTACAAGCTCCAATTTCTTCTTCAGTTTTCTTTCCGCTGGTATAGCCACTTTTCAGGGAGTTTATAATCTACTCACACCAATGTTTCATGGAAAGACAGTAAGAACTGCCGATGCTGGAGTCTGAGATAACACAGTGTGGAGCTGGAGGAACAGAGCAGGCCAGGCAGCATCAGAGAAGCAGAAAAGCTGACGTTTTGGGTCGGGACCCTTCTTCAGAAATGGGGGAGGGGAAGGGGGCTCTGATGGCACTTGCTATTCCCCATTTCCATCTGTACTGATTTTACTCTTGATCTTCTGAACGAGGTGTCTTACTCTTTACTGTTCTGGTGTCAACCTTTACCAACAAAGCTAAACCTCTTCATTTTCCATTTAAGGATTTTTGTAATGTTGGATATATTAGAATCGTTTTCCCCCAACTGTGGTCACGTTACATATGCAACAATGGTTAGATCTAAATTGTTTGTCCCTGTTATTTATTCTGCCACTAATTCAGCTGTCTTATTGCAGATGTTTTGCACCTTCAAGTAAAAAGTATTTAATATTATTTTACTATTATTATTTCCATGGGCCTTATTTACCGATTCACTTATATTGTTAACTTTCTGCCCCTTCCTATCATATACTGCTTGAGTTTATGCATGTTGCACTCTCAAAATTTTCTCTTTGGCCTTCTGAAATTTCCTTTACCTGAACCCTTCACCCAACACTAACTTAAAAGCCCTGTCCAAGCAGAGAGTACAAATTGGAAAAGCAGAAATATGTAGGATTCCCTTCTCCCAAGCACATTGCATAACCACCAACATCACTGACTATATTATTTTGTGACATTGCAAAAAAAGTTTAACACGACTTACATATTTTAAAAAAACTGAAAATGGTTTTGCATCTGGGATCCATTATAAACTGCCTGGGCCATTGATGATTTAGTCATTGGCTCAGTCCATCCACTTCCTACTTAATTATTACCAGAACAAAAAGGGCTTAGAGGTCATGGACTTTTTTGTTTTATGCTCGATTTTGATGGTCTCAGCTTGGTTTCCAAAACTCAAGCCAATCCAAGGAACACAGGTTCAGCTTCCACCCAGCTGAATTTCACTGAAGTCACAACACTGCATTCAATACTTAGGCTATTGTAATAAGCTTAGAAGGAGCAAAATTGATACTGAAGAAAGGAAAACAACTATAATTTTGACTGGACACAAAGTGAAGAACACGATTTAAAATGTATAGCAAGTGTAATGTTTGAGGCAAAGATATTATGTTAAGATAATATGAGGGTGAAGACATTGGGCAGTCCCTTCATGACATGGAAACCCAACTCAAAAATAAAGGAAACACTGCAGTTTATTTCACACCTTTAGATTTGTTTACTACACAAGTGCCTAAACATAAATACTGATCCCCATCGGTTTTAAATTCAAACAGTCTTTTACTTTCCTATTAAAAGTTGACATAATTGTCTCTTGGTAACTCAATGTCATCTTGTGAAAAAGTCAAGTGATCACAATCAAACTGTATATGTTTTATGTACTATAGAATTTGGCACACAAATCATATTCAATAGCCTGGATTTTGCAGTCAACGGCAAACTAACTACACTTGCTGTTGACTTTGAAGAAAGTTGCTCACCATGATCGAGCAATATCGGAGGTGTAGATTTTCTCTTTTCTGACCTCCATTTGAAACGAGTTCCGAGTCATGAGAATCAAATGCCCAGCAACAGGAATGTTATCAAGCAAAGTAAGCAGCCAATAATACTGAAGTATTCTCAAAGACAGCAATGCAGGAAGTAAAGATGGCCAAAGTCTTTCCATTTTAATTTAAATTTTAGTGATAGCAAGATAAATGATCGAGATATACTGGTCAGATTAAGATAACAGTTAGGACAACAAGAAACTTTATAAGAGAAGCATTTTGGAAATCATGTGGATTTAGTTTTTAATCACAACAGAGGAATTTATCCTTTCCTAAAAAAATTATTCAGGGTCAATAAGACTGTTTCACAGTAACTATGAACATGGGGAGGCAATGGCCTAGTGGTATTATCGCTGGACTATTAATCCAGAGACCCATGTAATGTTCTGGGGATCCGGGTTCGAATCCTGCCACAGTAGATGATGGAATTTGAATTCAATAAATATCTAGAATTAAGAGTCTAATGATGACCGTGAATCCATTGCCGATTGTTGGAAAAACCCATCTGGTTCACTACTGTCCTTTAGTGAAGGAAACTGCCATCCTGGCCTACATGTGACTCCAGACCCACAGCAAAGTGGTTGCCTCTTAACTGCCCTCTGGGCAATTAGGAATGGGCAATAAATGCTGACCAGCCAGCAACACCCTCATCCCATGAACGAATAGAAAAAAAAACTTAGTACACCAATAAACCCCAGTTCTAGCTCATTCAACAAGATGTTATTTTTCAGAAGGTTTTCATCGTGAGACAAATAGCTAAAATGATTTCTTGTCATGGTGTGGAGGTGTCAGTGTTGGACTGGGGGACAAGGTCAGACATCACACGACACTGGGTTATAGTCCAACAAGATTATTTGAAAGCACAACCTTTCTGAGCGCTGCCCCTTTGTCAGGTCATCTCAGTCACATGATGAAGGAGCAGCGCTCCGAAAGCTTGTGATTTCAAATAAACCTGTTGGAGTATAACCTGGCAATGTGTAACCTCTGACCTGGTTTCTTGTCAGCTCAAGCATTTTTTCTTTTATCAATTGCAGTCCTGGAAACCATCAGAGAACTACTGACAATAACTTCTGGATATTTGTATTTAACTCCATACACACAGGCACCAGAGGCTGCTGCAATTTCAGAGGAGTAAAGAAGGTGAACATCAACTATTTTGCCCTCATTACTATAATATAATATAGGCCAATGTGTTTATATCCTGTGTAATATAGACAGTAGCATATACATCAATGTGCTTTATACTCCATTATTACTCGAGTTTGCTTCGTGCTTTTAAGAGTGAAAGGAAGTTGAAAATGAAAATCAGCCTGAGCCTAGAGCCTGCCACATTGACACCTCATACCTGAGTCATCTTGGCAAGGTCAAGTGATGGTCTTTGATCTTCATCTGGTCTACGACGTTTCATCCCAACTTTCTGATCATTGTGGACACATGGCTGTGACCTGCAGCGGAGCAGTCGGCTGGTCTGCTGCACAGGTTCTGGAGTTGCGGCGGATGTACTCATTGTGGACGGCGTGTCAAACTCCAGCACAGATATCTGCTCATGAGATACGGAAAGAGGTCGCAGTAGATCGACCCCGGACACTACTCCTGAACTGGAGTCAGGACGCAAATCATCTTCAAACCTTCCAAAAGTGGGTGTGGTCCAAAAGCCCTTTCCCTGAGGGCACACAGAACTGTTACTGGTAGCCAAGGGTTCACACGAGAATGAAAAAACATTGGATCTTGAAGGCAGACTAAAACTTGAACTCCTCTGCATGGTAGATACCCCATTTGAACAATGTTGAACACTGCTCCCACTGTGACAGCGTCTTTTATCAACTGGAGTCCAGACCTTTGACCCACTAGGTTTCCATGGTGACCGACAGCTCGTTAGTTCATCTGAAAATGACAATGACCTACATTGCCGTTTGCTGGGAGGTGCTGACGGATGACCATTTCGATCACTGAGACTGAGGTCTTTAATTAAACTGGTCACAGTAGATGCTGGATTTGAATCACTTGGCCAGACTGTATTCACTTGACAGTTCTCCGAACCGGTCAAACAAGTCCAAGGTGAATCCAGATTATTGGTGGTGTGCTCAAGGTCAATTTGACACTTCCTGCTGATGTCTCTCCACCGATCCCCTTCTTTTTATTTTAAATGAAACAAAACACAAAAAGGTTTTCATTAGTCTGAACCCTGATGCCGCAGCATGGATTAGCTCTAAAAGGAAATAAATACTTCAAAATGAATGATACATCTTAATTTAAATCTGTTTTGTAAGCATAATTTTATACTTTAATCCTTCAAAAGAGTTTTATATAAACTAACTAAGAATCAAGAAATAAAAAGAAGCCTTTAAGTCCCTTGAGTCTGTACTTCCATTTGATCATTGATCTATTTGCTCCATATCCCATAATACTTGGGCTCACTGAAGATTTGATCAACTTCAGATTAAAATTTAAGAACTGCTCAAACATTAAAAGCTGTGTTCGGATGAGAATTATGTTTCTACCATCCTGTGAATAAGGGCTTCTTGATGTCACTCCTGAAAGGATTACCTTGAATTTTTGACCACACCACCAAATCTTATAGCTGAATATTCATTCCTGGAAGCAAAGCCAAACCCCTTGGTGAATTATGGGTCTGGCCACCAGATATATGGCAGCCAGAGCTGGGAGTGATTTCCAAGGAGACAGCCAGTCTCCTTGGAAATCACTTGGGTCCCGAGCGCTGTGAGGCAGCAGTGCTAACCACTGAGCCACTGTGCCACCCCACCTCATACACATTTCTTTCAATAGCACCGATCGAGATAATCAACAGTTCGGATTTGTGGCTGTATTTATTTGTTAATAAATATTGTGCTGGACATCCCATAATAGAAATTGCCAGGTAAGACTAGTCACACGCTGCTATTTCGATTATCTCTTCATTATTCCTGTCACCTTTCAGCCAGCCAATTTCCCAGCACTGTCAATAATTTGCTTCTATTCTATGACCTTCAACTTAAGTTAACAGCTATTTACTAGGGACTTTGTCAAACGGCCTCTGAAAGTTCATATGAAAAATGTTGAAGGACATTCCCCAGTCCACAACATTGAAGAAAAAAAAAATCGAATCAGGTTCATCAGACGTGATTTGCCACTTACAAGTCAATTTGAATACTTAAAAGGTTAGGCTAATATTCTCCATGCTACATTGCTCCAGCAAATTATGAATCAGATAAGGAAACTCACCATGTTAATTGTTTCATTGATCATCAGCAGCAAGCCGATAAATAACAGCAGTTGTGTTGAGGAAATGCTACTTACAAAAGTTCCTTCAAAAAGTAAATAACTTCAGCCTACCCACACTGAAATGGGTTCCTTGGCTGAAAATAATTACTAAATATTTAATTTTCCTCTCCTAGCAACAGAATCTCAGTGTTAGTGGTTTTCCTACCAACGCATCAACAAGCATACTGTTCTTAGGTGTGTGAGGTTGTGTCATGATTTAGTGCAGGTCATCTTCACTGATTTATTTATTTAAAAAGGGAAGTACATTCCCCAGACATGCCTAATAATCCTAACCGTGTTCACAATATATCAATATACTTAACAGTATCTCTCAGTAATCACTTATTACCCGGTTTTCAGTTCTTTTAAAATTACTGTTAAACAGGATCTGGGACCAGGCATTTTTGTGGCATATTTTTGCACAATCTTCTGCCACGAAAGTGGTAGATATCTAGATGCTTCATTCATATTGCCATGATTCTAAACACTAGCTTTAATGTATCAGAGAAATAAGAAACAACTAAGAGATGCTGCTAAGTGTAAAGGCATTTCTCTTTATTACGTTTAGAATTATGGGTTCATTCACTGAATGTATTTCTTCTTTTGGTGATCTCAATTTAACACAATCTTAAATAGCTCTGTCCTGCCAAAAATGGCTGCTTAACAACATTTATGACTAATGGTTCTGTGAAGCAAAACATTCCATAACAAACCCTGCAAATTTCGACACATGCTGTATATATTAAACTTAAACATTGAGAGTCAAACAGTATTTTAAAAGTTCCAAAGTGCTCTGAACAACACTGTTAGTTTGGATTAGTGACTGGACTCTCAGTTCCAAGTGACTTCAACCTACACAATGGAGAATGTAATTTATACTAACATATCAGTGAAGTATTACAGGAGTCCAACATTGTTGAGGGTGTCATCTCTCAGAGGAGATAGAAACCAATGCCTCATTAGTTTTTTCAGACATAAAAAGGTTGTATGGCTCTAGACAAGGAATTTTAATGAATTCTTGTCTAAGACCAAAATAATTGCACTGAGTATTTGCCCACAATACAACAATGATGGCACACCAAACAGTGCTAAATAAGCGTATCATTTTTCTCCCTTATTTCTTGCAACAAAAAAGAATCATAATGGGTGAATATTGTACCCAGAAGATCCTTTGTGGCGATGATCTGCATTTTGAAGAAAGGTTAGAGAAATTTATGTTTTTCAAACTTGAAAGGAGGCATTTATGAATGTAAAGTGTTGTCAGAGTAACAAAAAATAATTAACAATATAGACTAAACCAGGTGCAGAACTTTATTCATTGTTTCATAAATCAAATCATTATGCTCTATTGGGTCAAACTGACCAGCTGAGCTTCCCCTACAGAGAACAGCATTCGCTTGACAGACTGAATGACCTCATCTGTACTGTAGATGTTTTTTGATTCTATCTATCTAGAAATCTGTAAATTACAGCTTACAAACAATTTTTAAATGATTCTGGGGTTTAAATTTGAGTTCAGGATGCATTTATATTGCCAAACTAATAAAAAACATAAATTTAGGGTGGATACCAGGAATTTGTTCTTCAATAGCTGACCTACCCAGCAAGAACAGAGTTGGTTCCGATCTGACATCTAACTAACGCACTGGCAAATTTTATGTTCCATTGAAATCAGGTGAGGTGTAAAATTGGGCATCTAACCCATGCCCACCGTATTGTTGCCAGGCAGGCAATATTAAAAGGTGGGCTTATGAAGCATTCAATATATAAAAATAATTCATATATTGGTAAAATATTAGAGGCAAAAGCCCTGAAATCACTCAAGGTCAAGTTGCTTGCTCCAATTGACAAAGTTAAAAATCATTTTAGTTGGATGATCCAAAGTGGCCTGTATGGTATTCCTTATCCATAATTATTTTACATCATTGCGAACAACTATTACTAGTCTCATGATCAAGTGACATAGCCAATCAGTCTTATATGCAAGAGTACTATAAGAATCTGTTTCTTCTTTACTTGAATAGGAATTGAATTGTTTAAACAGCTGAATGAATGACTGATATACAACAATAATTATTGCCTTCAGTAGTTGTGAGTTCAACACAAGTTATTCTAAATCAAAGGCAAGATATTAGCTCACAATTGAATAATTTATTACATTGTTAACATTGTGTTTATTGGTTTAAAATAATAGTCATCATGAGAGTTTCATTTAAATATTAACTTCTATGAAGATGCAAGGTGCTTTTATCGTGCCTATTATCTGCCCTTGTCAAGTATGAATTCAAAATTTTTTCAAATATTGATCGTGTATTCAATTCAGAAAGCTCTCTCAACCCCTAATATAACTTAGGAGTCAAACATAGAGGTTATTTTAAATTTTCTGCTCATCTGCATAATTCAAATCAACAAATGGCTCTGAAACAGATTGAATCTAAAATTGATTGCAATATATTATAAAGAACAATCAAGTGGTACAATTTGACAAGTCAAAAAGGAAGGAGACAGGATACTGCAAAACAGTATTATATAGCATTTGTTATTTGATCCGGAACAGAATTACAAGGTTGATTAATGTGTAACACAGCACACAGTGCATTCATGCCACAACATGTCCAAGCCTGTAACTCTGTCATCATGAGGCAAACTGACAGTTCTGGATAAGCCACAGGAGAATGCACTAAATAAAGCTAAGATTATTCTTCTCAGAAAAATCAATCCCAAAAATCACCCTGGGCTACTCCATTATACTGGCTGCAGATGGATTAGAAGGGATCTAGGAACAGATTACTTGCCTGCAAGTTAAAGCAGGGAATAATTCATGACAAATTACTAAAGTGACAAGGAGAAATGTGAATTTTGCACAGGAGTGTAAGACGACAATCCACCTCTCTAATATACACACACATGGAATATAACTTGACAAAAATTATTCAGAAAGGATAGCAAAATTCACATTTACACAAGTAAATCCCAAAATAAAATGTGGTTGTATACTTTTCAAAATCTAAGCATGAATTTTAAATGTGAGATATGTTAATTTTGTTGGCTGGTCTTTAATAGCAGAAAAACAGATTTAGTTTTTATGATATTATCCAGATTGTAACCACTGACATCTCATGGTATCTGTCCCGTCTGCGGTGTCTAGTTCAGACTAAGGGTTGTTTGAGATAGTTTGCTGCCATCAATCCTCCCTTGTCTTTACTTTGTCCAGGACCGATCTAATGACCAGTGGTGCAGAATACATCACCGTTTTTGGTTAACAAGATGGTTTAGTGAACAATAGCAAGACGTGCACCTACATTCTGGTCAAGCAAAATTACTAGAACTCCTAGCGTATAGAAAATACTTCTGCTTCATAGGAAGGTTAGTGTAGAACACCCCACCTCCACCACAGATTGTGACACTAATGCAACTTCAACATGACCTCTTTCAGAACCTGTAACTTATGGAGTAGTTTTAAAAGCAAGAGGAAGGGTGCAAAATTTTAGTTCAGTTTTGTCCATTATTGCTAAGTTTCACTTATATTACTCAGCAGTGCCAAGTATTGGCTTCACAATACATAATTTGGAGGAAATTTTGTAATGTTCCTATTGTTTTCTTCAATTTGGAATTTTATTTTTGAGCTGCATGGTCAGATGACCTAACAATAGAGGAGCACCATCAGAATAATTAAAGAAAACAGGTCATTAAACAGCATTAGATATTGAACCAATTTTCCTCCCTCATTTTAAAGATAATTTCCTGTCCGTAGATCTCAAAATCCTTCCTGGAGGAATGAAATCTACTTTATTAAAATGAACATACAATTGTGGGATAAATGCAGTACCTCAAACTACCTTACAACCACTTCCATACCAGTGTTAAATAGC